TGTGTCTGCAGAATGGGGGAAGGGTGTGGAGGCTGGACGATGCACTGCGGTGAAGGGGCGGTAAGGATGGAAGGTAAATCGCAAAGGCCTGTGGGGTGGGGTTGACTTTTACCAAGAGGCACTAAGCAACGAGAGAAGGTCTTTAAGCGGGAGAATGGTCACAGCTACATAGCGTGGACTGAAAATGGGGAGACACGGCAGGGGCAGGGATGGGGGTGGGGAGGAGACCATTGAAGGGCTGTTGTTTGGGCAAAGAGGAGGAGGCCAGTCTGAGGGCAGTGGCCTCAGGATGGAGAGGGGCCAGATCTCAGGCTGCTCTTCTCTGGGGCCTCTGTGTCCCTGGCAGCGGAGCCGAGGCTAAAGGTCCCACATCAGTCAGCTCTGCCGGGACTTGGCACCCTGCCTTCCACAGCCAGCATACTCCGGGGTCTGCGTGCAAACGGAAAGGAGGAGGGATGACGTGTGGGAGCAGGGAAGGAGGGGACAGGGATGGGGGGAAGGGAACGGGGCCTGGGGCTGTGGGTCGGTTAAGGAGCGGTCAGTCTTGTCCGACCCCCAGGGCTCCTCCCCGGGCCCTGCAGAGGAAGGGTTAATATGCGTCACCTCCCTCCCTTCCCTCCTCAGGTCACCTTCTAGGCCCTGGAGACTTGGCTGGTGGCTCAAGTTCCTCAACCAGTGGCCCTGAGTAATCAGAGCCCACAGAGGGGCCGGGGGCCTGGGGGAAGGGAATGAGAAATTGGGGACAACGGGGCCCTCAGAGACTGAGAGGCTGGGGGTGTCTGTGAGGCTGAGGGGTTTGGGGGTTACCCAGCTTGGTTCCCAATACGCCCCACCTGATCCAGGACCCGGTCCCGGCCCTGACCTCAGTTTCTCCCCCACCAGAAGAGAATTCCTGGAACTCCTCTCCTGGGCTGAGGGGCGGTGGGGAGGGGTGATCCATTAGGAAGCTTTCCAGCTGCGAGAGCTGGGGTCCCTCCCCCTAGTGCTGGGAACTGGCCATAAATGAGTCTGTGGTCACGGAGGGACCTGTGCTAATGGAACCTGGGCTGCCCCCCAAGCCACAGAGGGAAGGGAAGAGGGGAAAGTGACCTAAGCCCAGCTCAGCAGCGGGGAGGAGGGTGCTGACCTGAAGCAGAGGTGGGTGAGGGGACGGAGCGGAGGAGAAACGGGGTCGGGGACTGGCTGGAGGGAAATTGGGAGTCGAGGGAGGGTGCTTGCAGGAGAATTGGGGGTTCAGGAAATAACTGAAAGTAAATTGGGGTCAGGACAGTGATTGAAGGGAAACGGAGACTCCAAAGGAATAAGGAGAAGAGAACGGGGGTAGAATGGTGTATTGGGAGAATTGGGGAGTCAAACAAAATAATTGGGGGGATTGTGAGTCGGGATCAGGGGGGATTAGAGGTCTGAGAGACTGCCAAGAGAGTGTGGGGGCTCAGATATGCCAGAGGCCTGGCTGGACAGCGGGGGGAGATGAGGGAGAGGACCCTGAATTGGGATGGGAAGGCTGAGGGGAAGGCTGAGGAACAGATTGGAGGACAAGAGGGAGCTTGAAAGTGTGTGTGTGTGTGTGTGTGCAGGGACTTTTGCTGGCTTGGCAGAAAGAGCAAGGGACTATCCAGGTCCCGTCTCACCTGGAGAGGTGGCTAGCAGAAGCCCCTAGGATTTTCCAGATTTCCATTCTGTCTTCAACTCTCTCCTTCCTGCTGGAGCTGCTGATAAAATTAAAAAAGGGGGAGGGGGGGCGCGCCAGGTCCCCTCCCCTCCATCAGCCGCCCTTTCACTCTGCTTCAATTATTCATCAGCCCAGACACCGCCCTCCCGGCGGGGCAGGCCGGTCCTCGCTCCACGCCCCGCCCAGCTCGGCCACACTGCCACACGGGCCCGATGAGGAAGGTCGCGGCTGGGGCCAGCCCTCGGCGGAGAGCTGGCCGGAGGGCCCGTGGCTGGCCCCGCCAGACCCTGCCGGGGACCACCTCTCCCTCACCTTTCTCCTGCCAACCCGCTGGAGCCAGGAAGCCCCTGGTGAAGATGCCAATCCAGATCTTCTGCTCTGTGTCATTCTCCTCTGGGAAGGAGGCCCCCGGGCCCTTGGGGGATGCTCAGGGTCCCCAGCAGCAGCAGCAGCAGCAGCAGCAGCGGGACAGCTCAGAGTCAGAAGAGGAGGAGGAAGAGAAGGAAGAGGAGGCGCCCAGGAGGGAGGCCGGAGAGGGGGGTTTGCCGGAGGACTTGGTGGCCTTCGCCAGCAGCTGCACGCTCCACGGCGCCAACCGCATATTCGTGGAAGGGGGCCCGGGGCCGCGGCAGGCCCTGTGGGCGGTGGCCTTTGTCCTGGCGCTGGGGGCCTTCCTGTGCCAGGTAGGGGACCGAGTGGCCTATTACCTCAGCTACCCTCACGTGACTCTGCTGGACGAGGTGGCCTCCTCGGAGCTGGCCTTCCCGGCGGTCACCCTCTGCAACACCAACGCCGTGCGGCTGTCCCAGCTCAGCTACCCGGACCTGCTCTACCTGGCCCCGATGCTGGGCATGGACGAGAGCGACGACCCCGGGGTGCCCCTGGCGCCCCCGGGGCCCGAGGCCTTCTCTGGGGAGCCCTTTAACCTGCACCGCTTCTACAACCGCTCCTGCCACCGGCTGGAGGACATGCTGCTCTATTGCTCCTACTGTGGGGGGCCCTGCGGCCCCCACAACTTCTCCGTGGTGAGTGGAGACCCGAGCCCGGCGGGCGCCCCGAGCGTGTCTGCCGTGGCTCACCCTGACCCTCTGGGGCTGGGGCCGGCGGGCCCTGCTCCTCCCCGCCTCACCTGGACCCCCCCTCGCCCGTGGGTGTCCCAGAGAGGCCCGGCCAGGCTCGCCCAGGAGCCCCTGGGTCTGAGCTGGCTTTCTGATCTCAGTGCCGCTCTTCCTGTTAAAATATTAAACTATATCATGCTCGTCGGTAATTAGCTGCTGCCCAGCAGGTGGGTGCCTGGGCCAGGAGGTGACAATTCTGGGCTGGAGCGGGGGCAGGCGCCACTGGCTTCTGGAGGTGGGAGAGCGCGGGAGGGAGGCGGAGCCCTCATCTCCACCCCGCCACCCCCTCCCCCGCAGCTCCCGTGGCGGGGCCTTCACTGCATCCTCCCTGGTCTTCCTGTGTTCCTCCTACAGTGTGCGCGTGCGTGTGTGCGCGTGTGTGTGTGTGTGTGTGTGTGTGTGTGTGTGCGCGCGCGCGCGCACGCGTGTGCGGTGCACATGTTACTCTGAGGGTGGATAACAGGCCTCCTTTAAATCCTCACACACACACACACCCGCGCACCCCCAGCTCCAAGTGGCCAGGGACCCTCTTCTCGGGGAAGCCCTCATTGGGAGAATCAACCTCCTTGCCACTCTGGAGTCCAAGGCCTTTCCTGCGGAGGAAACCCATCTTTCCCCCAGTTCAGCTTCCAGTTCTGTCTGACCAGGAGCCAGGCGCCACGCCCTCCCTCCCCTCCCCCCCCTCGGTCTCCAACCCCCTTCCCAGTGCAGGAGCAGGTGGGTGGCATCACGTCGTGCCCCGCAGTGTGGCTGCAGACAGATGGGTCCGCTGGGCCTCAGACGGGGCGGGGGGGGGGGGGGGGGCGGCATCTAGCAGCACCTGACGAGGAGGGGACCCACTGGGCTCCTTCCTCTGAACCCAAGGGTAGAGCAGACACTTCTCACCCAGGACCACAAGATGGCAGCAGCAGTCCGCCGGCCCGCAGCCCCGCTCCGAGCCAGGGCCAGGCCGGACCAGCGCGCCCAGCCCTGGGCGCTCCTCACAGCCCAGGGGAGGCCAGGCTGGTGTGTGTCCAGCCTGGAACCTGACTGCCACAGAGCCCTGTAGCGGGCTGGGCGGCTGGGAGCTGTCAGAGTTCTCTCCACCCCGTCCTCGGACCTGGCTCCCCAAATGGGGGGCAGCATGTTTTCTTTTCTGGGGGCGGGGGGGGGGGGGGGCTGCTCTAGGAAGGCGGAAGGGGCAGGGACTCTGCTCCCAGGGCCCCCTGCCCCTGCCGCTCCGGTCCGGCCAGACACCCGGTCTCTCTCGGTCTCCGGGCTGAGCCTGTGCCCACCTGTGACTCTGTGGGAACCCGGGGCGTTCAGGGAAGCTGGGGAGACAGGGCCGTAGAGAACTGGCTCCCTCCCTTCTGGCCTGGGGCTGGTGACCCTCCGCTAAGGGCTGCCCTTGGGGGTCTGTCTGGAAGCCCTGACAGTTCTGGCATTGCCAAACGTGCCCGGCGCTGAGAGGGGAGCTGCTGGTGTGGTGAGCCCGGCCCCTGGCACGGCAGCTGCGCTCACTTCCAGGTTCTGGCGATGATGGGACAGTGATGAGCACGGGGGCGGTGGCCTGAGGACACTGGAAAGCTTCACTTGGTTCGGAGGCGGGTCCTGGGGAGAGGGCCCCGCAGACGCTGGGATGGAGCCAAGGGTAAGGCGGCGGTGGGATCCGCTGTTGGAGGGTCTGCGTCAGGGTCTCCACAGGAGTAGGATGGCCACTCGGAGTTCAACTGGAAAGATGTAACGAGGCCCGTTCTCTGGGCGCTGAACAGAGTTAAGGAAACCAACAAGGGGCCCGAGGCGCCCGCAGGAGTGGCCACTGTCCCGCCGGCCGAGGGAGCACAGGCGGCGCCGGGCTGGGCAGGGGTCCTGGCAGGGTTGTCACCGAGGGTCAGCCACCGCCAGAACTCTCAGCGACGTGAGGGGCCGGAAGGAGAGGTGCCCCATCCCTCCCTCCTTCTGCCCCCTGACCCCTTACCGATGCCACCCATTGGCCAGACCCACCCGGAAGCCTATCCAGGTAGCAAAGGAGTCCCACGGGGCTCAGCTCTCGGCGCACACGGCGGGCACAGGAGGCAGAGTGGGTGGGAACAAAGGCGAACGGCGAACGGGCTGCAAGGAGGGGCCGGTCCTGAAGGCACTGCCATTCCAGCAGCTGGGCAGTCGGGGACAGCCGGGGCGGGCAGGGGCGGGCAGGGCTCTCAGGCTCTTCACCCGCCCCCTCCCCCCAGGTCTTCACCCGGTACGGAAAGTGCTACACGTTCAACTCCGGCCGAGACGGGCGTCCGCCGCTGAAGACCATGAAGGGTGGGACGGGCAACGGACTGGAGATCATGCTGGACATCCAGCAGGACGAGTACCTGCCTGTGTGGGGGGAGACGGGTATGTCACCCCGCAGGGCCCTCCCCGCGGCTCAGGCCTCAGCCTCTGCCAGGGGACTCCTGGGTCTCCTGTGGGGCCTGAGGCAGGCCCCGGGCTCCCCCCCGCACCTCCCTCCCAGCATCTCCCCGTCTCCTTCCCCGATGCCACCTGCCTGACTGCCACACTCACATTCCTCCGGCTCCCCCTTCCTGGCTCAGTTGCTCTCCAAGGTAACCAGCCATCCCTCTCCATCAGCGGCTGCCACTCGCTCTATAAATAACTCCCTCTCTCGGGCTGCCTCTTGTCTGTCTGGTCTCAGGGGCCTTGGGGCAGAGAGAGGTGGGGGAGAAGGGAGGGGAGGGGGGGGGAGAAATGGAGAGCATCTGAGAGAGCGTTGGAAGCACCAGTGTGCAGAGCCGGAGCCAGGTAAGAGAGAAGCGTGCAGGGTGCAGGGGTCACCAGGGCAGCCCGGGGCTGGTGAACCCCGACGGCAGCTCGGGATGGGCTGGGGTCCCCTAAACAGCCCCTCCTCAGGCTCCAGAGTGTGCTGTGCTTGTTCCCCTGAGAGGCAGGATGCCCCAGCTCTGGGGGAGTTAGGGAATCGGGAGCCTTCTCAGCACCCTCCCCCCTCGTTCCCTTAGACGAGACGTCCTTCGAAGCTGGCATCAAAGTGCAGATCCACAGTCAGGACGAGCCTCCCTTCATCGACCAGCTGGGCTTCGGTGTGGCCCCGGGGTTCCAGACCTTTGTGGCCTGCCAGGAGCAGAGGGTGAGGGGCTGCAGGAGGACGGGCCTGGGGGGGGGGTGTACAGGACGGAGCTGGGGGCCGTCACCAACAGGAGGGGCGGAGGAGCCATCTGGCCAGTGAGAAGCACGAATGAGCTGAGACACGGGGATGTTCTCTAACCTCGAAGACGCTCAGCAGCGGTGGAGGGAGCGGGGCAGGGTGCAGAGTTCTGAGTCCTGTTAGAGAACCCATCAAGGTGACAGGAGCGGGGGGTGGGGGTGGGGGGAGATGTCTCCACACCCTCCAGCTCCCCGGCTCTCCCAGCAGCTCATCTACCTGCCCCCACCCTGGGGCACCTGCAAAGCTGTTACCATGGACTCGGATTTCTTCGACTCCTACAGCATCACCGCCTGCCGCATCGACTGTGAGACCCGCTACCTGGTGGAGAACTGTAACTGCCGCATGGTGCACATGCCAGGTGGGCCCCTCAGCTCCCCTGCCCCTCACCAGCTCCCACCACCACGCGAGGAAGACCAGCTGGCTCCTCCCTCCCCACTTCCAGCCCCCATTCTCATGGAGGAGACGTCCATCCCATTCCCACGTGTCTCGGCTCTGTATTGCCTGCCTGTCCTCATAGAGGCGGGTGGGAAGGGTCCAGGAGGAGCGGACTGCGGGGTGGGTCACCTCCAGGACAGACGGGGTAGTAGCCAGTCCCACCCTCTCCTCTTCCAGCTTCTAGATCTTTGTCACAACCACTGTCTCGGAGCCCTTCCATATTCATCCTACGCCACTGCCTTTTCTCCTCTGCAGGGGACGCCCCGTACTGCACTCCGGAGCAGTACAAGGAGTGTGCGGATCCCGCTCTGGGTGAGCGACCCTGCCTGGGGCAGCCTGGGGGAGGGGAGGAGGGGCTGCCAGCCATAGGCTCAGGTTTTCAGACCAAGCTCCCATACACTTCCAATCACTCCTGGATCAAGCTTCACCTGAAAGCTCCCGTGTCTGGCTTTAGCAAGGCTGGGGACTTAACTCTAACGGCCCCCGTGAAAGATGGACCAGGGTCACCTGGGAGGGGCCCTCACTCTCTCTCCTCTGCAGCTCAAGTCTCTGAGGGAAAGAGAGATAGGACTAGGATATACCCCAGGAGACTGGTGAGGGAGGGCACAGGGCCGAGGTGAGGGAAGAGGAGGGGGCTTGGGTTCCTTGGGCAAGGCCAGGATGTGCGTGTGGGGAGGTGCTGGCAGGAAGGCACCACTCAACTGGCGCCTCTCACCTGGCTGGGCACAGACTTCCTGGTGGAGAAGGACCAGGAGTACTGTGTGTGTGAAATGCCCTGCAATCTGACCCGCTATGCCAAGGAGCTGTCCATGGTCAAGATCCCCAGCAAAGCATCCGCCAAGTACCTGGCCAAGAAGTTCAACAAGTCTGAGCAGTACATAGGGTAAGGGCGCTGGCTCTGCAGGGCGGGGCTCTTGGGCTGGGCCTGGGAGGGGTGTCAGCGGGCTCTGGTGGGGGGCCAGCGGACAGGAGGGAGTTGAATCTGGGGTGAGGAAAGATCAAGCCAGAACAAGCAGGGAAAGTGCCTCTCTCTCCTTCCTCCTCACCTCATCCTCTGTTGTCATTCTCCTTGCTGTGCCTGGGATCGCCTCGCACTTGCTAGGGTATGGAGCATCCTTTTGTATATGCCATCCCACTTAATCCTCACAGCAACCCCGACGGGCAGGTATCCCCATCAGCATCTCATTTGATGGACGTGGAGACTGAGACTCGGAGGATAACTTAGGAAAGTTACCTAGCTAGTCAGGGACAGAGATGTGACTTGAACCTAGGTCTCCTCTCCAACCCCTCTGCAGGGAGAACATCCTGGTGCTGGACATTTTCTTTGAAGTTCTCAACTATGAGACCATTGAACAGAAGAAGGCCTATGAGATTGCAGGGCTCCTGGGTGAGCTGCTGATGGCACCTGTCCCCTCCCCATGTCATGGGCATGGTGTGACACCCTCCCACCCAAAGCGGGCTGCTCACCTCTGCCCTCAGCCATCTCCGGGGCCTTTCCCCAAATGTTGTCGCCTTGGGATGTGGTGGCGGGAGGGGGCTGAGCCTTCTCTTAGGGCAAATAGGAAGAGACAGGCCTGGTCGTGAATAGGGAACTATTTCATACACCCTTGAACATTTGCCTAGAGAATAAGAGTGTTGGGGTATTTTATAAACAATTTTTTTCTGAATAACACCTATGCATTTTAAGAAAAGTAGAAAAAAAAAACAAAAACACAACACAGAAAGGCATGGAGGAGAAAATAACCCCACCCTCCATCAGAATCACTCTGTGCTCCTTCTGTGCGAAGGCTATCTATCCTTCTGCAATTTTGACTTGCCTGCTCTGCTCGGCCGCTCCCATGGTTTCTTGACCCCACTGATCTCCCTGTGCCCCCTGCAGGTGACATTGGGGGCCAGATGGGGCTGTTCATTGGTGCCAGCATCCTCACGGTGCTGGAGCTCTTTGACTACGCCTATGAGGTAAGCGAGGGGGAGGGTGTGCCAGGCAGGGGCCACGAAAGGCTCGGCGTGGGGTTCCAGGCCACCCACACACCCACTCCCCACCCCACGTATCCCAGGTCATTAAGCACAGGTTGTGCAGACGAGGGAAATGCCAGAAGGAGGCCAAAAGGAGCAGCGCAGACAAGGGAGTGGCCCTCAGCCTGGATGACGTCAAAAGACACGTGAGGGAGCCAGAGATGGGTGCCCCCCTCCAGCCCCTTCCCCATCACCCTTGGACCACCCCTTGCTACCTTTCCTCCTTTGCCTCCCCATGCCCCAGTACCATCTGCCAATAACCGGTCCCTGTCTTGGCCATTCCTCCAGAACCCCTGTGAGAGCCTGCGGGGCCATCCTGCCGGGATGACGTATGCTGCCAACATCCTACCTCACCACCCAGCGCGAGGCACTTTTGAGGACTTTACCTGCTGAGCCCTGCAGGCCACCGTACCAAAGGCCTAGATGAGGAGGGCTAGAAGAGCAAGGGGGCCCTCAAGTGCTCCCCCACATCTGCCCTGGGGACACCCTCCCCCTCCCAAGGCAGCCCCCCACTCCTGGGCAGCCCTTTCCTCTTGTCTGTGGTGAGGAAGGAGTCTTGACCATAGAGTACTCTCCCTGTCTCTACCCTATCCTTTTTATTTTTAACAAAACTAATCTAAAAAAGAAACTAAAAAAAGAGAGAACTGGGCAAGTGACCTCAGGCTGCCCCTCTCTGCTCCACGCTGCCTCCCCAGCTCCCAGCCTGAACTCTGTCTGTCTGGCTGTCTGTCATCTGAGTGTCCACACTTACATTCTGCTGCCACCAGTCACAAAGCCCCCTCTTGGGGGGGGGGGGGGGGAGTGGAGGGGATCATTCAGATCTGGAATTTGGCCCTAAACCAGAGAATGTACCTTGAAGGGAGGGATCGTGGTGGTGAAGGTGGGGCTTCCCAGCCTTAAGAGACCCTCTCAGCCCAGTGACCACCTCCCAGCCCCAAGTCTCCAAGTAGGAACTAAGCCCCGGCCTCCGCCCCCACACATACACCGTGTGAGTCACTAGGGAGGTGGGGTAAGGATCCCCTGAAGAAGTGGAGATGGGGGGCAAGATGTGGCCCTGGTGCTGTAGGCCACATCCTGATACCTACAAGGCCACCCCCACCCCAGAGCTGCTGGACAGAAACCCCAGGAGGCAGCCTCCTCTCCGTCCCACAAAAGATCCAGCTGGTTGGCTTCCGGCTCAGGGAGAGGGGCACTGGTCCCGCTCCCGGGGGGCCCCCCACAGAAGGCCACGTCCATAAATTTTCTTATGGAATTCTCCCAAGTCCTCTTTCCCAACTTCATTTGCTTCTCTCGACAACCTCATCCGCATTTTCTATTTCTATATGATACAGACTCTATATTGCTATATCTCTGTATATACTCTCCCCTAACTCTGTCTGTCTCTGCCCCCCATCCCCTCTTGTCTCCAAGAACCCCCCCCCCCCCCCCCCCCAAGTGCCCCTTCCCATGTCTCTGCCCCCTTCCTGGTCTCTGAATGCCTTCACCTGTATAAAGAGTTGGACTCTCCCCTGGTGTCTGTACTGTGTACACACATCCCTCTGAGAAGCACAAGGAGACGACACGCGCATTGTAACCTTCGCACTGTCTCGGCAGCGACATAAAGGAAGCTGTGAATCACAAGCTCTGCCTCTTTCTGGCCTCCTCCTCTCCCCCTCACCGGGGCACTCTCTGTCCTCCCTGGAGCCTTAACGTTCCCTCCCCCGCTCCTCCCACCCCAGAGTCCTCTGCAAGGCTGCCCGCGGCCTCTCCCACGGAAGGAACGGATACAGAGACAGCCCCACCCAAGGGAGGGAGACCTGCTGCGCACACCAAGCCCAGGGCTTCAAAGAGAGAGAGAGCTGTGGGCCAGTGACTGCTTTGATGGAGCAGTGGGGTGCTGACAGGCAGAGCTGAGGTCTTCCCTCAGTGGCCTTTCCCTCCTTCTAGGGCCCAGTCCCCTTTCCTCGTCCGATACCCAAACCCATCACTTGTATTTCCTGGTGAGGTATGGTTTGGTAGTGGGAGGAAAGAGAGGGGAAGTTGAGCGCTGTTCCTACCTTAAAGAGAAAGTGAGTGAGATAGAGGGCCTGCTGGGCCCCTTCCACTAGGCGGTCCTCCCAGGTCAGGGCCCTGCCCCTTCCCAGGCCTTCTCTGCCCAGCAATCTCTTGGTCTCCAACCCCAGAACAGGACCTGTGGCCGGTCCCCTGTGCATTGACCTAGAGCTGGAGGGTGAGGCTTTAGGATCTTTGGGAAGTTTAGTTCCTAGTAATTCCTTAGAGAGCAGATCTCTCCAGAGGGAAGCAGGAGCAAGGCCTGGGGTGTGTGCACGGGATGGAGAACAGCAGGCAAGGCTATGGGTGACGCATGCCTCTGGTCTAATAAACTGGGTTTCAACCACTCCTCATCAGTGTCTTCTTCTCTTATCGGAATAGCATTTAAGCCTTCCCATTGAGTTTCTAATCTTTCCAAAAATCGGGACTTTTTTAAAACGCCGCGGGACGCAGGAAAAATTGTTGAAAGTTGGGACTGTCCCGCCAAAAGTTGGACGATCTGGTCACCTTAGCCTAGAGCTAAGCTTGGTTTAGGGCCAAATAGTCAGGGGAGGAATAAGGAGGCTTGAGCAGGGAGACCCCCATCCTCCTGGGATGAGACTGGCTGGCCATCACACCAGGAATGGTTTGAACCACTGGACAGGGAAAGAGGGCGGGGTCTAAGGCAACAGAGAACCCTAAAGAGAAGTCCTCGCACAAAGGATGCTTTGAAGAGGAGGCAGAGTCAAATTTTAAAATAAACTTAAAATTTGGAAGCAGGTTAGTTTGAAAGCCAGGGAATTCGTTGGGTTGCCGTTCTAATGAGGTTGTTCTTGAGGCACCTTTTCTGTGCAATGAGCCGCAGGTAAGGTATAAGCCAGATGTGGATTCTGGGCTTTGGCTTTGCTGCTGCTAACCTAGTGACCTTTGCCAAGTCAATTTCTCTGAACTCAGCTTTCCCGTCTGTAAAAGAGAATAAGCAGTGCGTTCTCCTCTTCAGTCCCTCGGACTTCTCCAGCAGTAAGAGGAGGGGAACGAACAACTGAACACGCTGCGCCAAGAAGAAGCCGGTCCAGCACCACCGTCCCCATCAGAGCGCCGGGCTGGGGCCGGGGTCCTCCTTTCCAGGGCCTGTCTCCCTCCCGTCGCCTGGGGGCGCCCGCTCCCAGGGCCTCTCTATCCCAGGGCCCTTCTCTATGGTTTCTCCTCCCGGACCGCGAAGGCGGGAGGGCGTGGCCAACACCTTTTCCGCTAGTTGCCCCCTCTAGCCCGCAGTCTCGCTGCCCTGAGCCTCCCCGTGCCGGCCGGCCGGCCGGGCGGACAGGCGAGCGCGCGGGGGGCTCGCGGGGCGCGCCGGGGGCGGGGGGAGTTCCGGTTCCGGTTCTTTGTGCAGCTGCAGCGGCGGCTCCGGGGAAGATGGCGGCCCGGGCGGGTTTCCAGTCTGTGGCTCCGAGCGGCGGGGCCGGAGCCTCAGGAGGGGCGGGCGCGGCGGCTGCCCTGGGCCCGGGCGGGACTCCGGGGCCTCCCGTGCGGATGGGCCCGGCGCCGGGCCAGGGGCTGTACCGCTCCCCGATGCCCGGGGCGGCCTATCCGGTGAGCGGGGCTGGAGGAGGGGCGCGCGGCCGGGGCGGAGCCGAGCGGGGGCCTGGGAGTGACAGCGGTGGGGCGAGGAGGAGGAGGGGCTCCCTGGCGGGATTTGGGCCCTGAGTGAGGGTGGGGAGGCAGGTCGCATCTCTCCCTGCTCCCGGGGGCATGGTTTCCGTGGATCCGGGGTGGATGAAGTGGGGCCGGTGTGGGCAGCTGAGACCTGGAGGGCATGAGGGCGTGGGCAGCTCCATGCCAGAGGAGGGAGTAGCTGACAGCACTGTCTGAACTAGAGAAGTCCGATGTGACAGATACAAAGTAGACTAGGGAGGGTTTGAGGGTGATCTGATTGTTACTTTGGAGAAATATTTTCTTACGAATTCCTACTGGAGCAGAGGAAGCTTCAGTGATTTGCATTTCAAAGAGGCAGAGGGCCCTCCATTGTACTCCACCCCTAGCCCTCCCCCCCACTGGCCTTGTTTCATTCAAAGAACTCAAGAATCCCCCACGTGGGCCAAGTAGGGGAAGCTATGACATCTCTGGGTCCTCTCCCCTCTATAGAGACCAGGTATGCTGCCAGGCAGCCGAATGACACCTCAGGGACCTTCCATGGGACCCCCTGGCTACGGGGGGAACCCTTCAGTCCGACCTGGCCTGGCTCAGTCAGGGATGGACCAGTCCCGCAAGAGACCTGCTCCTCAGCAGATCCAGCAGGTCCAGCAGCAGGCGGTCCAAAATCGAAACCACAAGTAAGATGACCGTGGGGGGCAGGGAGGGACGGAGGGAGGGAACCTATGAGAACTCAGGTGGTGGGAGTATCTGAACCAAGAAATGGTGGTGCCCTGTCAGCAGATGGTGCTTATTGAGAATGCCTCATGTTGGGTGGGGGATTGAGGGAAGAATGTCTTTGATTTGAGAAAATCTTTTCATCCCTTCACTTTACTATAAATGGAGGTGCTGACACCCTATCTTCATTTTCTGGTTAGTTCCATCCCAACCTGATAACAGTATTTCTTTTGAACAGTGCAAAGAAAAAGAAGATGGCTGACAAAATTCTACCTCAAAGGGTGAGTCCAGGCTGTAGGTCTTCTTGAGGGTGTGGTGAGGTTGAGAATAGAGATGGTCAGCTCTATATCCACATAATATTTTTCTGTTTCTAAGATTCGTGAACTGGTACCAGAATCCCAGGCCTATATGGATCTTTTGGCTTTTGAAAGGAAACTGGACCAGACTATCATGAGGAAGCGGCTAGATATACAGGAGGCCTTGAAACGCCCCATCAAGGTAACACAGGAGGAGTGCCCTAGGCAGAGAACCAAAGGAGAAGATTCGGGAACCTGCAACAGACCTAGGATGAGAAATCCAAGGCGCAGCACAGCTCTCCTTGGCATTTAAGTGGCATCTTTCCCATCCACCTATGAACTAGACTTACATTAGGAACATAAAAACAAAACAGCCAAAGGGGAGGGATTTTTGGTATCTCTTACACCAGAAATATACTATACCTTGTCCATATTTTTTTTTTTTTTTTTAAAGGCTATCTAACGCCCTAGTGCATATCTTTTTTTTTTTTTTTTTAAATACATATTTTATTGATTTTGTACAGAGAGGAAGGGAGAGAGATAGAGAGTTAGAAACATCGATAAGAGAGAGACATCGATCAGCTGCCTCCTGCACACCCCCCACTGGGGATATGCTGGCAACCAAGGTACATGCCCCTGACCGGAATCGAACCCAGGACCCTTCAGTCCCCAAGCCAACGCTCTATCCATTGAGCCAAACCGGTCTTGGCCCTTGTCCATATTTTTGCTACAACTACTCTGCCACCCTGCATCTCAGTATATCATCTCAGTATATACATTTGCACTCCGACCAATGGCCTGCACTCCTAGATGGGATCTCTGTCCACCCACCCTAGGGACTGGATAGACACTAAGCCAGTCTGTTAGGAATAATGGGGTTTGGGGAGACCCTGTCTTCAGCGTCAAACCACTGAAGCCCCACCACCAATCCTGTTTCTACCTTCCTCAGCAAAAACGGAAGCTGCGAATTTTCATTTCTAACACTTTCAATCCGGCAAAGTCAGATGCCGAGGACGGGGAAGGGACGGTGGCTTCCTGGGAGCTTCGGGTAGAAGGACGGCTCCTGGAGGATGTGAGTTCAAGGTCCACCACGGGTCTGCATGGGGGGGGGGAGGGGGGAGCTGCTGGGAACCAGCAGTGTTGTCTGGTTGGCAGGAAGCCTAACTGGAGCTCACAGCTCCTGTCGGGAACAGCGGGGGATGGGTCACTGTGTTCCCTGTGCTGAAGACAATGGTTCTTTGTGTTGGCTCCCACAGCTTGGCCCTCACTGTGGTGTCTTATCGAGAACCTTATTGTCCTGGGATTAGATTTATTATTTACCTTCCTCCTGACGCTACTGGCCATTGAATTTAGCATTATGTGCAGAGTATTCTGGTGTGTGTGTGCACGCATTCAAGTGAGCTTGCACTTAGAATTTGAGGCCATATTTTCCTCTGAGTTCTTGAGGTCCTTGATTCCCATTGTGGCATCTCTGTCTTCCCAATGTTCACTGGAGACATCTCACAGTTTAAGTGGAACAGATTTATCTGACAGGCCCTTGATTGCTTCATGGGGAGCATCAGCTGACAGGTGATAGCCCCCAAACTTCCTCCCCCAGAAGCCCCTGGGGGAAGCTCACGTTTCCCTTATATTCTCTGACTCTCTGTTTTTATCTGTTCACAGGCAAGCTAATGTGAATGCATTTTTGCAGGAGAACCAGGGTTCAGTGTCAGAGCCTCCTTCTCTTAATAGATCCAGCCCATGTGCTGGTGCTGTCATTCTATCCAAATAAAGCTGTTTTTGTTCTGGCTGTTCATTGCCTGAGATTTATTTCCCCTCTATAGTCAGACTTTTCTCTGTTTAGACTCGCTTTATGTGTAATGGTTTGGCTTAACCTGACAAAGTAAGTCAGTGACCCTATATATAATATAGACTGCTTATTCAGGGTTCTGTTGCTACTGTGACTTAATATTCACACCTACCTTTCTGTTTCCTAAGAGATATTCAAAAGGCATTTTTAAAAAATATTTTTATTGATTTCAGAGAGGGAGGGAAATGGAGAGAGAGACAGAATCAATGATGAGAAAGAATTGTTGATCAGCTGCTTCCCATACACCCCCGACTAGGGACCAAGCCCACAATCCGGCATGTGCCTTGACCGGGAATTGAACCGTGACCTCCTGGTTCATAGTTCGACACTCAACCACCGAGCCACGCCAGCCCGGCTGAAAAGACATTTTTGAGTTTTCCTATTGCTGTTTGCCGCGCCCGCCCCCCCTTTCTGGGCTTCTCTAACATGACCTTTTGTTTCTCTCCTCTAGTCAGCCTTGTCCAAATATGATGCCACCAAACAAAAAAGGAAGTTTTCTTCCTTTTTTAAATCCTTGGTGATTGAACTGGACAAAGACCTGTACGGGCCAGACAACCATCTGGTAGAAGTGAGTAGTTCTGCCTCTAGACTTTGATTCTATGACTGAAGGATGATGGACTTGGGAGTCAAATTTTAATGTCTAGGGAGAGGGGGAGGTATAAATAAAAAATAAAGACTTAACCCAGGGGTACATTACCATCATTGTAGTTTGCACATTGACCTCCAGGTGGCACTAGCTGTTTGGACCAAAGACAAGTTCTTGCAGTCTGACTTGTCTCACCTTTTTAATGTTACTACAGTATCTTAGTTGCTCCCTCCACTTTCAAGGGAAATTCTAATGGAGGCCTCTTT